TGGAACATTCCGATTCTCATGCTTAATTGTATGGCACCTAACAGCATCATCAGGCTGACAATACTCAGAGGCCACTTTGGGTATTTACTTTAAGTAGGAAATCATTTACGGAATAGTAAGAAGATGAAGTGATGAAATATATACAATGTTCAGAAACAATCTTTATAGCAGAAGATACTATGTTTTCAGAAGATATTTTTCAGTATGGAAGAAATATGTAGTAAATGAAAAGAGTGGTAATTGTTTGTAGATTTCTAGAGATTAATAAACTTTTTTTTGCAGTAATGAGACTTGAACTCAGGACCTACACCTTGAGCCACTCTACCAACCCTTTTTATAATGGGGTTTTTTTGAGGTAGGATCTTGACAATCACTTGCCTGGGCTGTCTTTGAACTGCAATCCTCCTGACCTCTGCCTCCTGAGTAGCTAGGATTACAGATGTGACCCACGGGCGCCCAGCAGATTAATAAACTCCTAATGCTGAAGAAATTAATTAAAAGAGGAAATTGGGCCTGAGGACTAATTTAAGAGGCTGTGCCATGCACAAAAACTCTACCTTTTATTCAATATATAGAAATTTAAATGTAATTTGCTACCAACTAAGTTATGGCACAATTTTTAGATGACCCCATCCTTTAGGTGGAGATGTATTCATAGATTTTCAAGTCAATGACAATACCAAGTTTGTGACAGCCAGTTATAGAAGTGAGTAATTTTGTTCAGGAACAATCAAAGAAATCAAGGCTTGGTTTCTGTCAGCTTTAGAGGGTCTTGGTCTAGCTCTCCTCTACCTGTGCCCCCAGTTCCCATCGCTCCCTCACCTATTATACACAGCCCAGGGAACTGGGCTAGAATTTTCCCAGATCCCTCCAGACTGCTTCCAGCACTTGTATAGCCTAGCCCCAGAGTCTGATCACCCAAGGACAAACCATGCCAACACTATACTATGACCTATATCTCACAGGGATGGCTTAGATGAGCTCAATTGCGGGCTGAGATATTCACATGCAGGACAAAGGGGTAGGAAGAGGAGAGAACAGGTAGGGTCAGGAGTGGAGACTGGGGTTCTCTGTCCCTATTCCCTCTATCTGAATTCACATCAAACATTCCAGATGAGTACAAAGGCGCATGTCAGGGAGGAAGACAGCACATTTTATATAATTGTTGAATATTTGGGTAAGTGATATGGTGCCTCCATACCTTGTACCATAGTCCCAGGTCCTGTGTGTGTTAGGGTGGGCCAGAGGGAAGATCAGACTTGAAAGTATGAGGCTTCTCTGCGTTCAAGTCACTGTGATGTTCAGGGGCATGTAGCTAGGCCATGGGAACACCCAACCATGAAGACCCTGGGATGCCATTGTTTTGGGATTCTGGCCATGGGCTATGAGAGCTCTGTGAAGGTCTTTAAGGAACACTTGATCCGAACAGAATGAGGTTTTAGAGCAATGCATCTGGAGGCAGTGAGGTGACTGAACAGAAGAGAAAGACTTGGGACAAGTTGTCCTGTTTCGAAGATCTTTCAGTGGCCCATGGAATGGGGTTAATGGCTGTGTCACTTGCCCTCTGCCCATCCCCCACCATCCATGTTGTTTTGGTGGTTGCTCTGCACTCAGCAAAGGCAGGAAGTTGTCTGTGACAAGAAGCCAATTCCCAATGAGGCGGCACTGAAAACACCAGCCTAAGGGAATGCCCTGTGTTTAGAAAATAAAATTCCTCTGAATCTAAGAATAATCTATTTAAAGTCCAAAGCACTGGTTTTCTTTCATGTTTATGACAAACTTTAAGAAATATATAACTTTTCTATCACCATAATAATAAACCTTGTGTTATTAGAAATTCACAGCAAAATAATCAACTTTTGTTTAATTTGTAAAACTGTTATCACTTTGTTTACAATACTCAGGGATTCTCATCTCTTTGCTATTTCTGTGGCTTCATCTGTGCCCAAGAGAATATATTTGTCATTCACCTGCTCCCTCCTTGTCTTTCTTTCTTTTCATTTTACTCCTTTCCTTCTTTCTTTCACCCTTTCTTCCTTTCTTTTCCTCTTTATTTTCTTTATGGAATAAAAGATACACCCCACTTTTGTGGGGGTTGGAATGTATGGCTGGCATTAAAACTAAAAAATAAAATTGGCATGAGCAGAAACACATGTCATGAAGACCTTGGTGTTCCTGGAATAGGACTGAAGAGTAGAGGCTGGGAAGTGGCCTCTTCTTTATGGAAGGGGCAGGAAATGTGTGAGCATTTTCCATTTCTAAAATTCCTACGTTAGGTATGTCGCCTGGACCCAGAGCAACTGGCTGACACTTCTGCCATATGTGCCAGGGACCTCTCACAGTGTCTCCTAAAGGATATAATCACTCCCAAATGCATAGGCAGCATTTATAGAGTTGTATTCATGTGTGCCACTCACCAGAAACTACCCCTGTTTTTCCTCCCAAAGTACTTGATACAAATGTAAAATTTAAATCTATATGTAGGATAATTTTAGCTCTCTTTAAACTATCTTCTTTATGTCCCAGTAGTTATGTTTTATATATGTTTAAACATTACGTACAACTATTTAACTGCTGTAAAATCACTTGGATTTGCCTTTTTTTGATTTGTTACTGAAGTATTTATTAACTCATCTTGTGGCCAGGCTCTGTGCTGAGCACTGGGTGTCCTCCGGTGTACGAAATAGATTTGATTCTTGACCTTGAGGTGCTCAATCCAGCCTGAAAGACAGACATCCTGGCCAGCAATAAGAGGGAAGCATAAGAAGGACCTTCTCAGAGCCATAGAGGTCCAAGAGGCACTTCTTTGGGGGCACTGGACTTAAAGGGAAGAGAACTGTTGAGAAAATCTTTCTGAAGAAATAACAGTTAAGCTGAGACCTTGAGAATAATTTAGGAGTTAGTCCAGCAGAATAGGGGCAACAAAAATTCCAGGTAGAAAAAATCATATGAGCAAAATCCCAGATTCAAGAGAAACCTAGAAGATCAAGAAATTTTTCTAAAAAATTCAATCTGATTGAAGTATGGGATGTGATGGGGTGGCGGTGGAAAGTGTGAGCGAGGGGTTGAGTGTGAAGAGAGGGGTAGGAGTCAGCTCAAAGAAGGTGTGTTAAGTTTCTGTCTTGACAGCAAGGACAAATAACTGAAAGGCTGTAGATTGGAAGAGACACCACTGTGGCCACAGGGTGAGAGAGAATTGGACAGGCAAGATTGAAGGCTGGGAGACCTGTTGGAATTACCAAATGCAGGATAAGAGGATCCATGGTCTCATCTAACATTCCCATGGAGGGGGCCTTTGCTGACCCTCATCCTAAATTAGGGTTCTGGGACAGTCTTTCACAGAGCCCAATATATGCTATTTGTTCAATTTTATAGTTATAAAATGTATTTAATCATTTATTCCTTATTCCATTAAGGAAGGAATTCTGTCAGACTTGTCAGCAGCCATATCCCCTGCACCCAGAACAGCACCTTGCAAATAGGAAGAGCTCAGAATGAGGATTTGCAAATGGAAGAATAGAAATAAGGGAGGGGTGGGTAGATCAGTGGGATACAATGCAGGTAGAATCAACAGGACTTGGTGCTTACTAGCAAGGGAGAAACAGAAATCAAGAAGAATTCCCAGGGCTAGGGTGTGCTCAAGTGGTAGAGTACCTGCTCAGCAAGCAAAAGACTCTGAATTCAAACCCCAGTACTACAACAAAACAAAACAAAAAGGATGATCCCAGATTCTGGCTTGAGCAGACACATGGATAATGGTGTTATTTATGGAGAAAGGAGTCTGTCAAGGCCAGAGATAGACTAGAAGAAGGTTTTAGCAGAGACTGCATCAGATCCAATTTTAATACTGGGAGCTACATTTAAAATCTATCTTAAAAAAGTCACAAAACAAAAAAGCAAACCAATAGCAAACAAAAGAAATAAACATAGCAGAGATATAGTTAGGCATATTTTCTTCACTTTTATTTAATTTTCCACTGGTTTTCCTTCCTAATTCTTTTATCTTAGCAGATAAAAAATTCATTAAATTAGCACTATGTGACATGTATGTGTGTTAATGTAGTTATTTATTCTACCAAAACATCATGTTTCCTAATATGAATTATTTCACATCCTTATGTTTATAGAAGCATAAAGAGTGTCAGGATGGCCGAGCGGTCTAAGGCGCTGCGTTCAGAAGCATAAAGAATCAAGAAAGAAATATGGCAACAAGAATATGGTGGAAATAATTTTGCCTTAATAATTTTATCTTAATAAAATTATTATTATATTTTTGGATCAAGTTGAAAAATTGAAGACAATTATGGCAGATTTTTCCTGCTTTCATTTTTTTATTATTAAACATTTGTAACAGTATTTTTCCCAAATTGTAGACTTTTAGTAAAGTCAAAAAGGATCTCTTACACCCTTATATTGTCCTTTAAATTTCAGTTCCCATAGTTGTTGGAAGAAATGTAACATTCCTGACAAGGACATGACACATTAAAACTTAGTTTATGGTAGGAACAGCTAAGTATTTTGTAAACTTTACTCTTCACTAGCACAGATGAAAAGAAGAAGAAACAGAAAGTTCTGTGGATTTTATTGTAAAGTTTAGATTCCAAAGTCTGAAAGTTTGCTGGTATTCTAGTGAGGGTAATAATTCCAGAGTGTGTTCAACTCAGATTTAACATTAAAAAATGTTTGTTTTCAGCAGACACCAGTGGCTCACGCCTGTAATCCTAACTACTTGGGAGGCTGAGATCAGGAAGATCACAGTTTGAGGCCAACCTGGGCAAATAATTCTCAAGACCCCATTTCCAAAATAACCAGATCAAAATGGATTGGAGGTGTGGCTCAAGTGGTAGAGCACCTACTTCACAAGCATGAAGCCCTGAGTTCAAACCCCAGTCTCACAAAAAAAAAGTGTTTGCTTTCAAAAATGATTCTGATTTAACTAATTTTTCTCTTTGTCTCTTCTTTCTTCCTTTCTCCTCTCCTCTCTCTCTCTCTCTCTGTAGGTGGCTCAAAAATGTGTCCCTGTCCTCATCAGGCACTTGAAGGATTCAACCCACACTGACATCATCCTAAACATCCTCATAGAGATAGCAGGCTATGAGCCACTGGCTTTGAACAGCTTTCTTCCAATGCTGAAAGAGATTGGTGAGAGATTCCCCTACCTCATTGGACAAATGGCGAGGATCTACGGAGCTGTTGGGCACGTGGATGAAGTGAGTGTGTCTTCATTCTCTGTTTCCCTGGATTCTTGAGGCATGGGATCCATCAGTGCTCTATAACCCCCAGACTTGTCCTGGAACATCTGAGAGTTCCTATTTCTCTTTCAAATCTTTTGCATGGACAAAAAAATCTTTGGCCTTTGGGTCAAAGTAGCAGGATTCCTTGAACAGGTCTAGAAATGAGGATTTCATTGCTAGTGTGTTCCCTGAGGAAGGAGGGTTAAAATGGAGAAAGGTCTATGACAGATTCAAGACCACTTTGACATAGTAAAAACCATAAAAAGATCTCATCTCATTTTTGGTTGCGGCTCTACCTAGCCCAAAGGACCATCTGAAAGCACAGAATTCGGTCTCTGAGACACCCATTAGTGACAGCCCGTAATGATCGTGTCAGGAAGCGCTGAGCTCAGGGTGTTATGAATGAGCCCTCTGGATGATGTGATTTGGGAGAGTGAAATAAATGTTTGTGGATGTTTAAAAGTTCTAGCCTAAATATTTGCATAATGGAATCTTTCAGCAAGAACAACAGGATGCCATCAGAGTTTGTGGGAATTAAACAGTAAGACAGTTTCTAGAAATTCAGTTTATGAAGGGTGTATGTTCACACACACAAAATTTATGTCTGTTTGATGACTTTATAAAGAGGCTTAGGATTTTTTTTAAATAATATATACACACATATACAATTGGTAGACACTTTTCATTTAGTCCACTTACATACAATTAGCAATTGGAAAAGAATAAAATTGTTAAATTTTTTAAAGGAATGTAAAGTTCAACCCCTTGATTCTGCACAAGGTAAAAATTTTAAAAAACAGAAAGATTACATTACTTACCTAGACGTAAGACTGGGATACTTAGTCACCCAGTAGAATTAGGTCTTTGGTATTCTACACATTCATTTTCTAATATTTTCTTAAAAAATGGATCTTCAGTGCTGTGCTAGTTCTGCTGAGAGTTGTGGAAGCCCTGTGAGTTCCAGGCTGCGTCCTGGTGAGGGTCTTCTCAGCCTCTCATAAGAAGGTGGGAGAACTGAGCAGTCTGTCTCTCATCCTGATGATGGATCTTAAAAGGCAGTCTCTGGTGTGGACAGACTGCCTAGCATAGTCCCTTCCTCTCCTCTGCTGTTGGGAGTGCCTTCTACCTGCACAGGCTGCCTTCTGGGGGTGCTTTCCCCTGCCTCTCACCTTTGATGTCAGGAGAACTGCTGGGGCAAGTGTTAGGAGGCCAGGGTCAACTGGCAGCTGCTTGACTGGATCCACTGGCCTTGCAGAACTTTGCAAGAACCAAAAACTTGGACCTCTGAGGTGAAAGGCCCTGGGATCTTTGAAAAGTCTACTCTTTTTGCAATTTAATGGTCGTTCTTTATGTCACGAACACATTTCTGATTCATTAATGTGTAGTGATGCACACTGGAAGTAACTAAACTTCCCACAGAAAGTGTAATCTGTAAAACACAAAAACAAAAACCACTGCCCCCGTATAGTCTGGCCACAGCAATTGTGTCATTGTAGGTTTGTCTGAGCTAAGGCTGAGCTGAGACCGAATGGTGTGGTGGCAGCATTCCTGTGAGTCTCGAGGTGGATCTAAATAACCCAAGGAATTTAGTCCCTGTCCCCCTCCCCACTCATATCCTCAGAAGATTGGTCCCAGGGCACCCCCCTGCCACATAACACCCTAGAACACTGAAATCTGCAGATGTTCAAGTCCCTTACATAAAATGGCATAGCATTTGCATAAAACCCTCACACACCTTCCTGTTCAAACCATCATGAGATGATTCATAATACTTACTACAACTCACATGCTATGTAAATAGTTGCTACTTGGCATAGTTTAGGAAACAATGACCAAAAAAAGTCTGCACATGTTCAGGACAGATAACAATTTTTCCCAAATAATCATCCACATTTGGTTGCCGAACCTGCAAATACAGAGAACAGACCATGATTTATTTCAGAGGTCAAGTTTGTTTGTTTTTCTTCCCATCAAACAAACAAAATTTTCTGGTGGTTCTGATCCCCCATACAATGCATGCAGCAGAGAACAATTGTAGGTCAAATAATTGTCAAATGTAACTGGACATCAGGATTACATGGGAAACTTTTAAATAATGAGATTTTCAATGAAAATCTCCAGGAATGGGACCCAGGATCCTGGATGTGTGGGAACATCTTCCAGAATAATTCTCATGTAGCTATGTGTGGATCAGCACTTGGGAACTCCTGAAATAGAATATTTAAAGCATTTGCTCTCTTAGATTTAGAATCACATCTTCCCCATCACCCATGTTGTCTGTCTCCATCAAGCCATTGCTGATCAATCTAATAATTTTCTAGACAACTGATAGAGCAGTATAAACTACATTTGTCTGAGAGTAACACAAAAATCCAAAATGCAGTGACTTAAGCAACTACAGGTATCTGTCTCTGTCACACATGACATCTGAAAAGCAGTCAGTCTAGAGCGGCACATTTCAGAGATTCGGGTTTCTTCTGTGTTGTTTCTCCACCATCTTGAGCAAGCCCAAAGCACATGGTATCCACCTCATGGTCCAAGATGGCTTCTATGTTCACCTACCACATCAGACTCTCAGCCTACACAAAGCAGAAAGGGAAGAAGGACTCTTCCAGACAGTCAAACACAATCTTTTCTTTATATCTTTGACTGAAAAGAACAAAGCTGAATATGACTGCATTTACCTGCAAAAGAGGCTGGAACATGCAGTCAGGATTCAGGTGGCTGCATACCCAGATTATCAAGAGAAGAGCAGGGCCAGGCACTCCACATGTTTCAAGGTTAACCCGAGCAAAATGTAAACTAGTCCCCATCTCAACAAAAAAGCTAAACATGGAGGTGCATGCCTCTAGTGACCTGCATGAGCTTGTCCTAGAAACCTAACTGGGGGTGATGGGAGATGCAGAAAGGACAACAGATAGAAGACAAACATGCAGAAAGCTGGGGTCAGGTGGGCTGGGTGCTTGGATAGAGACCCATAGCAGCCCCATCCACCTCCAGCAAGTTTATTATGTACTGTGGCAAACAAGGAGATGGAGCAACAGTTTTTTTGCGGGGAGCTCATGACATTGCTACTCTCTGAGCATAAACATCTTAGGAAAAGCAGCTGTGCTGCATTTTGCCCTTGCCCCCTTCTGCGGCTGGGGCTGTGCCAACTCAGCCTTCAGATTATTTGACATGGCTGTACTTCACCCTCCACACATGCCTATAATTCTAGCCACACAGGATGTGTAAGTTGGAGGATCTGGGTAAAGTAAAAGTGAAAAGGTCTAGGGGGCATGGCTCAAGTGGTAACGTGCCTTCCTACCAAATGTAGGGCCCTGAGTTCAAGCCTTAGCATTACCAAAAGAGAAATAAAGAAAAAGAAAGATTGCTCCTCCTTATTTATTTCTGATGCTTAAAACTTGGCCATTCAAAAGTTCTTCTTTCAGCTGTAAGGAGTTCTAAAGCCTGCATGTGTCAAGAACAAATGCATCAGTCTAAGCAGCCAGTATCTGCCTGATTTGAGTGAATTTGTTCAACTTCAAGAGGAAAACCTATGGAGCACTATTCTTAAAGACAAAACCACTAGCACAATATGTGTTTGTATGTATGTGTGTGTTTCTATCCATCCTCTCCAAAAGAAAAGGAAGTAACTGAGGCACATGGAGAGGTGGGCATGAGGGCATGAGAGGTGGGCATGAGGGGTCCTGGCAATCCATGGGAGAGAAGAGGCAGAAACTTTGCCCTAGATGCTCCATCACTTCCTGTGTGAAGAGCTTAGACTATGGAGAGGCAATCAGATATAGAATATAGGGAATAGGGGATGTTTGGGGGTGTTTATGATAAGACAGTCACAGCACCATTGTGAGCTCTGGCCCCAGGATCCTCTCCCTCATGGTATACTCATCTCATCTAAAAATTGACTTAATTTGAATTTTTTTCTTTTTGACAGTCAAGGAAGTTTCAGTTGTGTTCAGGGCTTCAAAATATCAGGGATTTCACTACTGAGATTTTAAAAGATTTTAGAAGTACAGAAAAGTCAATCCAACTTTGGGACTCTTACTCCAACTTTTGAAATATACACTTGGGAGTTGATTGGTGCTTAGTGTTAGAGCCCTTCCCTGCTGCCTGGCTTCCTGCAAACCCCAGGGTTTCAGTCCAGACTTCCTGCAAACCCCAGGGTTTCAGTCCAGATATAGCCACGGAGGTAGAGTCAGCCAGAATCATTAAAGATATTACTTGGTACATGTCTGTGCTTGCATGAAGCCAAGCGTAAGAACTGCAGGACTGGTGACTGGGAACCACCCTGAGTGCAATTGTCTTTCAAATCAGTGCCCATCTGGGTGGGCAAGCTGTTTCCAGCAGCTTGCTGGCATTATAATTTTTCCATCTGTATTACTCAGCAAAGGAATATTGTATATATAAAACAAAAATAAAATCTACAAGTCTTTATTTTCTCTATTCTCCAAAATTAACTGAGAGATGTGTTTTGCACAAATTGAAATGAAGACATGTTTAATTGCCACATGGGGCTGTGTCACTGTGGGAGGCTCACAGTGTAATGATTCACAGCCTATTTCCAAGTCTATGCTCACATCCAAAGCACATTCATTGATGAAGAGCTCCTTGAAGATCAAAGAAAGGATAGAGGAATAAGTTTCTAGAACAAGTGGGGCATACGTTTCTGTTCAGTAAAGGTCACATTGAGTTCTTTATCATGCCAGGATTTACTTTTCTCCTGTGGGATTCTCTGTTAGGGTAAATTCATAAATAAGAACTTGTATTTTATTAAATATGTCCTAGACATAGCAAAAATACAGGGGTTCTCTTTTCTTTCTCACATGAGATGACTGCAATGGAGAGCTCTCAGACAACAGTAGCTCCTAAGGGTCCATCCCCAAACATACATCCAGAGACTTCAGTCTCTGATAGTGCCCAGCATATCATAAGTGCATGATGAATTTCAGTTAACAACAAGACAACAGCAACAGCAG